AAGAGAAGGAGAGAGAGAAACATCAATGTGCGGTTGCTGGGGGCTGTGGCCTGCAACCCAGGCATGTGCCCTGACTGGGAATTGAACTTTCGATGCTTTGGTTTGCAGCCCACGCTCAATCCACTGAGCTATGCCAGCCAGGGAAACCTAAGAATTTTATATGCAGGGAATATATCTTTATGTGACTCTAATGATTGTCTACAATATGCAAGTGCTCATAAAATATGCCACCCATGTATCTTTTTTTGGAAAAAGTAATTACTTACAGAGAAGCATTAATTGTTTGTGAAAGGTATGAGAACTAGGATCTCAAGATTAGAAAGCTATGCCATAAGAGGACTAGTAATTAGCTTTATGCAAATCAAACATAGAATTGAGTTTAAAATAATTCTGCCAAATTTTGTTTTAAAATTGAGATGCAGTTGATAAAGGGTCACATTTTTGAGCTTGAGAAAAGTCATACCACTTAAGAATTGGAAGCAAGCACTGTGAGCAGACCTGCCTGTGAAAGAAAGTCTTCCACCCAAGAAACCAGACATCCTGATCTTCACGGGTGCTGACAAGTTCTGCACCCCTGGTGTAGGAATCATCAAGAAAAGTTTACAAGCCCTTTAACAAAATACAGCAGCATCACAGAGAGAGGCCACGTCAATTAGAAAGGGTGGCAGAAAAATGAGAACTTTAAACACAATTTAGTAAAACTACCCGAGCAGATCAAATTAGAGCACAGAAAAAGAAACTTGAAGAAATGATATCAGGTATTTCAAAAATGCATAAAGAGACTGTAAAAGAGAAGAATCGTGACTGAAAAGCGAATCCCTGCTCTTGTGAATCAAGAGGAGGAATACCACATACACTAAGCTAAATCAAAAAGGAATAGAAATTCACTCATCTTTTTTTAGTAAATATTTACTGAATGCTTTCCCCCGTCAGGCACTAGATGCTGAGGAGAGAGTGGTGAACACACACAGCAAACTTCCTGCCCATGTGAAACTTACATTCCAGTTGGGAGTGGAGCTCAGTCAATAAAGGTGATAAATTAATAAAATATTAGATTGCAGTGGTTGCTAAGGAAACAAATACAGCAGGGAAGAGAGATAGGGAATACTTGGGGAGAGAACTGAAGTTAGAAAAAATGTCTCCACAAAAGACTAAAATAAGATGACTTTGAATTTGACCTGAGGGAAGCAAGGTAACCTCGTGGGCATCTGGAGGAAGTGCAATCCAGTGCAGGGTACAGCAAGTGCACAGGTTCTGTGGTGGAGCATGCCTGGTGTGTTTGCAAAACAGCAGAGATCAATGTAGTTGGAATAGAGTGAATAAAACAGAAAAAAAATAGATGGGGACACCAGAGAAGCTGCACAAGATTGCACTGCGTACGGTTTTAGAGGTCACAGTAAAAATTTTATTTATTTTAAATTTTCATGTGTTAATTTAAAAAGAGAGAGAAAGAAAGGAAGAGAGAGAGAAACATTGTTTTTTGTTGTTCTACTTATTTATTTGCAATTGGTTGTTACTGGTATAATACGTGCCCTGACTGGGGATCAAACCTGCAACCTTGGCATATCAGGACAACACTCCCATCAACTGAGCTAGCCAGCCAGGTACCAAAGCATTTTGAACCCAGCCACATGATCTGATACGTTCTTATAGATTCGCTATGGCTGCTGTATTGAGAACAGAGGCATGGGGCAAGGACAAAAGTGAGGTGATGATAAGGAAGCTGCAATAACCTGGTGAGAGAAGATGGTGGTTGGGGCCGGGGAAGTGGCTGTGACTGTGGGGCGTGCTGGTCAAGTTGGGATATGTGCTGAGATACAGCAGGCAGGATTTGACCGTAGACTGAGCATAAGTTGGGAGAAAGTTGTCAAGCGAAATAGCTAGGCTTTTGGTTTAAACAGCGTGTAGGGTGGAGGTTCCATTTACTGAGAAGGAAAAGATGGTGCTTGGAGAAAGACAAGAAGCAGGAGGGAGTCAGGAGTTCAGTTTTGAACTTGGGAGGTTAGAGCTGTGGGCTGAACAGCAGGGCCTTTGGAGCTCAGCTGCCTCTGCTCCAGTCTGGGTTTGGCCACTCACTGATTCTGCAGCCTTTGACATGCTACCTCTTGGGGCTGCAGTGTTCTTATGTGGAAAAATAATCTGTTTCCTCGGCTTTTCTGAGGATGGGATAAATTAAGATTCGCAAAATAGCATATTTTGCATGGTGTTAATCAAACAAGTAAACATCAGTGGGGTGGGAATGTTAGGGGCATGTTAAGGGAATGTATAAGAAGCATCACAAAGCTTTTTCCAGAATACGCACATATTTGAATTAATATAAAAAGGTGCACTCTTGAGGGTCACTATAGGCAGTGGGTAAGGAGAGGAGGTAGTGGAACAAAAAAGAAAAAACAGTAAGATAAAATGAAACAAACAGAGGTAGTGTTACAATGACCTTTCACTTACAGTGTTTCATTTACTGCTATAGCCTCCAGGCCTGGAAAAGGTCTAGAACATTGAAAACTGAATAAAAGATTAAAGAATGAACAAATGAACAGAGGACTTTATTAGCTCATTTCTGTGTTTCTTGGGACCAAGAAAAATGTAGGCACATATAGTTAACCTGGTTCTAAATTCTGAAGATAAAGGAGAAAACCTCACAGGTATACAGGTAGCAGCGGTTCCTTGACCGCGGTGGTGGTGTTTGCATGTGTCCCACTCATCAGATTGTACACATTAAATATGTGCAGCTCTTTGCATATCAATTATGCCTCAATAAAGACATTTTTAAAATGTAAAAAAAAATTAAAAACAATATTATCAGGTTAGCATAGGACTTCTCATCCGTAATTTTGGAAGCCAGCGGTCATTGGAAGGAGCTTAGAAACAATTACAGAAAGAGGATGGCAATTCAATAATCTTATATTCAGCCAAAAAAGTAATCATATGCAGGTAAAAGAAAGACAACAAATACACATTTATGACCACCTTCTGAGAAACTCCAGGAAATACTCTAACAATAAAGAAATTAAATCAAATTCATTTTCTTTAGATTACAAGAGATGAATAAAAAGAACATTAGTAAATTATATTATCTAAACTAAGATTTTAGTTTAAATCAAAATGATTAAGATAATATGACACAATGCAATGCTTGTTAAATACGGATTTTTAAATAGCAATAATAAATTTTGAAAAAAAACACTAAATTTTAACCTGGAACTCAAATTCTCAACTATCTCACTAACCCCCAGTTGTTATTAGGGTTGGTGAGGAGTTGACAAGTTAAACTTCTGAACTAGATTGCATACTACCTAGCTAAAAATTTCATTTTGTAAAGTTCTCTGGAGGGAGCATGCACACACACACACACATAGAAAATAGGTGTGGAATGGTATACTCCAACTTCTCAATATCATTTACTTGGAGACAATGTGATTAAAACTCAAAAAAAAAATGACAACAACAGAGAAGACATATAGCACCAAATTTTAGCAATAATTTTTCCTGGGTGGTGAAATAAATGGGTGAGTTTTGCTTTCTTCTCTATAATTTATAGATCTTCCAAGTTTTTGACTATGAGAATGCTTCACTTTCATACCCAGAAAAATTATTTAATAAAATGAAATGTTTATGAATTAAGTTTCAAGTGAAACTTAAAAATGTGTTCATGAATAATTATTAATGTACTTATATTATTTGTGCTTCTTTTGCTTGTATAATTCTTTACATGAGCTATTTTTACCTTCATATTAAAATCACACTTTTGCTAAATTGCTGAACTGAACCCATATCCTGTTTTTCTTCTCCCCTACAAATTTGGAAACAAAATTAGAAATGGACTTCATAATAATTTTATTCCAAAAATATGTTTACATCTTTGTAATTTATCCAATAGTTTTCATTAAAATGGTAAGCACATTTTTAAAAAATACTTATTTTAAGAGAGAAAGAGACAAGGTACAGGGGAAACAGAATTTCCAAATGGTTAGGTCATGATTCTAGGGGTGAGACATGGCTGGAAACAGTTTCCAACCTGAAGAAACAGGAAATGTGGCCAAATCCATTTGTTTGCTTATATATCACTGTAGATCAATAGATGAGAGAAAAAATAATCTCCAGAAATATTGTGGTCAACAGACTACCCCTGACATGTGTCTATGATGTGTACTTGTATAAGATACAACATATCAGTCTGTATAAGATACATTACAATGATATAAATTATAACTGAAAGATTCTTAAGTTAGTTGATCTAATATATGACATGTGTATACTTCCACATACACACACACACACACAAAGTGTAAAGCCATTCAGGAATATGCCAGAATTACTACTACCAAATAATATTTTTGCAAATAAGATTTTAGTTCTTAAGGGAAGGTTTTATAGGAACAAGTATAGAGGACACATAGACAAAAACTGGGGGGGGTGGTGGTAATGGGAGGGAGGTGGGGACGGCTGGGTGGGTGGGCTGGGATGGGAGTAAAAGATAGAATATTGTACTTGAAAAACAATTAAAATAAAATTAAAAAAGATTTTAGTTCTGTAATTTAACATATAGCAACAATACAATACATTTAAATTTCAAAACCTGTAAAAATCTACATGGTGACTTTTTATATTGCTACATCTTGCCAAGTATACAACATGGAATTTCCTTCTTTACGTACAAGAAAAGGAGTGTTAAAAATGTTTCAAGTTTTCAAATTTCCTAACTTTCTATAGGTGAACTTTTCATAAAAGGGAAGCATTTTAAAAGAGCACGTGTAAAGCAAGCTATTTAAACATATATAATGATTTGTTAGCTTCTCTTACTAAAGTGCATTTTAACTAACTAAAGTTACAGAAACCTTGTTAGTTTTTGCATTCAAGAGCCCTAAAATTAATGTATGAATAAGTACCAAACCATTGATGAGTTGTATTCTCTTGAGCAGTCTCCCTGTAAGAGATCACCCAGCCCTCCCGGCCAGTCTCTGCGGTTTGGCGTGGCTGTCGGTGGAGGCATTCAGACCTACCTGCTCGGGTAGGAGTGGGTAGGAGTGGGTAGGAGTGAACAGAGCGGGAGGATGAGCCGCAGCGGAAACACTGCCTTCGCCAGGAGACCTCACAGCTTCTGCTGGCTACAGCCGCGGCTGCTCTCCCATAGGCCCCAGTTAACAGTGGCAGGATGACGCAGACGTTAAAATCTGAAAAAGATAAGCTGATAATAAATCTTTCTGAGACAAGGTAACAGTATATTGTTTAGAAATATAACTGGGAGGTGCTTTTATTCCAAACTGGCATCAGGAAGTTAGCACTGAGCAAGCTAAATGGAGAAGGTAAATATTACCATTACTTTAAAAATAAGCCCAAGCATGGGTCACCAGTAACCACAGTCATGGGTGTAAACAACACAGAAAGGAAAGCACACGTCCATTAAAACTGCTTTGATTGTTGATTGGTTTGAAAGGAAAATACTCCTGTGTTAGACATCCTTACAAAGGAAATACTAGCACTAAAAAAAATCAACTCATTTTCAAAACAGATAACGTATACCACCTCAGGACTATTTCTAAAATGGACAATGTCCTAGACTCCACAATATCTTATAGTTAAAAAATAATTTGAAGCAGTGACTTTCAAACTTTTTTTAACCACTAAGACAAAATATATTTTATATTAGGACCAATATACATGTAGATAGGCATCCATAACAGAAGTAAATGCTTTCATTAAAAATACCCTTACCTCATTTAATTAATTCACTCTATTTTCTATTTTATTCTATTTTATTTTTTTAATGAGTGGGATTTACACCCTGTAATGTTACTAATCACAATGAGGAAAACACTGTTGTAGAGGTTATACGATCCCACATATGTAGCCCATCAGTTTTTTAAATTCCTATATACACAACTTTTCCAAAATGACCCTCTTATACATAGAGCCAGGGCCTTCAATACAAAAAAACAGATGGTTCAACCAATGTAGTTTCTCATCTATTTATACCTATTTCTCGTTCTTTCACACTAAATCATAATTATGATAGATTAATTATTGGTTCCAATTCCTCACTGTCCTAGCATTTCTACCTTTGTCTTTACTCCATTGGGAGTGGGAGGTATTTCCCCGTCCTTTGAACTTGAACTTTGCATTTGGCTTGTTTTGGCCAAAAGAATGTAGACGGAAACATAAGGGTGCCATTTCCAAGCCTAGTCAGGAGGAGGACTCCCATGTTTACGACCATCCTCTGAGCCATCCTCATGAGAGCATACCCCGTGATGGCCACTTGTCCAAAGCGCTTGACAGACCTGTGGAGCAGACTGGGGCACAGGGACATGCAGCCATCCGAGCTGACCCTGCAGATTCGTGAGCAGCAGTTGCTATTATTCTAAGACACTAAGTTTTGGGGTAGTTTGCTACATAGCATTTTGTGACAGCAACTACCTGGAGTAACTGTATTTCTGAAACAAGCCCTTGAGACCTATCACTCCATTCTCCTGCTGTGGAGTAACACTGCCAGAAGAGAAACACTGGCACACACAGCTAGCGGGTCACCTGTGGTCTAAATAGCTGTTAACAAAAGCTGCAATAGCAAAAACCAAAACAAGCATAGAATAAAAATTCACTTTACTGAGTGAAGTTGACCTTTTACTAGGTGAATATAACTCCTGCTCCAGAAATTCCTGGATGTTAAAGTTGGTTCACTGCTTATTAACAGTATGTAGAAAATAGCATTCATCTTTCTGAAAATTAGTTAACTGTGTGCCTGAATCATAAAAATAACTGTCACTTTTTAAAAATTAATTTTCTTTGCAAGCAAGCATGCCTTCTGTATTGGAGTTGTAGGAAATCAGAGATCTCTCTTGTCTGCTTTGTTCATTGTTGTTTTATCATCAGAAACAGTGCCTGCAAAGCATAAATGCTCAATATGTACTTGTTGATTGATGTTGAATTACTGATTAAATTAATGGTTCTTTTTTTAAAGCTTTTTAAGTCAAAGTATTGCATTCATGTGGAATTCCCAAAGCTCCACTTATTTTCATTACAAAACTACACTGCAAGTCAATCTTTTCATTTTATGATGAGTTGTTTCTTTTAACCTAAAAATGTATTTAACCAAGTGAGTTTAGGATGAACTGTGTGAGACAAATGGTGGTGTCAGTTGTCTTACTTGAAAACTAGTCATTATTTACCTTGAGAACGTGTATGTGTGAGTCAGCCTTCTCTGGGAAAACAGAACCGACAGGCTGTGTATAGAGAAAGAAGGAGATTTATTATAGGGAGTTGACTCACATGATTATGGAGGTTAACAAATCCCAGCATCTGTAGGGTGGGCTAGGTCTACAGTCTAAAGGACAGCAAATTCAAGACCCAAGAAAAGCCAGTGATTCAGCTTGAATTTAAAGACAGGAAAAAAAAAAACAATGCTCCAATTCAAAAGCAGTCAGGCAGGCAGGCAGGTGGGATTCCCTCTCACTTGGGGATGGTTAGCCTTTTTGTAAGTTCATTCCCTGGACGGATTGGATGAAGCCTACTCACAATTGGGGGCAATCTGCTTTACTCAGTTTATCAATTTCAATGTGAAATCTCAACCAAAATATTCACATAGAAACACCCAGAATAATTTTGGCCAAACATCTGAATACCCCATGGCATAGTCAAGTTAATACAATACACACAATTAACTTTCACAATGTGTGGAATAGGTTGTATCTGCTTGTCTATATAAAACGGTGAGAGTTGGTTTGCTTTTTAATCTTTGCAATATCTTAGCAGATTGCCTGTGAAGTGCATCATATTCTGGTTCAATACTTATTCAAAGATAAAACTTTTCTTTTTTGTCTCCCTTAATGGGAGTGGTTTTCTGGGTTGAGAGGAGATTTTGTTTTTCACTATATTTTCCAACAGAAACACCCGATAGTCTAATTAGAACAGATGTGAAAGAACTTGTCACCACTCGGGCAGACTAGATGTAGAGGAAGAGCGAAGACCAAAGGAGAGGCGTTTGAGGGGGCACAGGCTCTGGGAGATTGAGGGTGATGGGATCAGGAATTTTGCCTGACAGCTCTTCACTTCTCCTTTCTCTCAGATGCCCTCCCACTTCTTTCCATCTTAGAAACATAGAGTAAATGATTGTGGCTCCAGTATTTCAACAACAAAGCAAATGATCATGCCCATGCTTAGAGATACTTGCCATGAAAAGGACTTAAGTAAATCAGGTGTTCAATACCATGTTTTAATGTCTTATACCAAGACATTAAAGAATGTCTTGACTTGCGGAATTTGGGGTAGGTGAGAAAAAGGTCTTGGTGTAAAGGGTGTGGTTCTGAGCCCCTAAGACTGTGGTATAGCTCAGATGTTTTGTGGGACTGAGTGTTTCCTGACACGGATGTGCATGTGGTCAGTTGGGCGTCACCTTCCTACTGTGGGAAATGTTGATACAGCACATTAGTATGGCCTTCTGGAAAGTACTCCTAAGAGAATATATTCCTTTACTCTAATCTTTAAATGACTTTAGCAAATAGAACTATATATATTATGTGGATTTCCTCAGCAAGTTTTATATCATGAAGCTACAGCTGTTCTGAAGCAGATGTCCAGCTGGCTTAGTAATAAGCAATCAATCACTTTCGAAGCACCTCCCATATGGCAGAGCTGCACTGTGCTGTCATGTTTAATCTTCATGCCAACCCTGAGACTTGGAAACACAGACTGATACTCAAGGCACATGAGGGATTTGCTCTCACAACAGCAAGTAGCAAAGCCAGGAAGCAAAGTCAGGCCAAACACTGAGGTTCCATCTCACTGTTCTGACATTTTAGCTCTCCCATGGTATAAACAACTCTACCCACTCCGGTTTATAAACTCTCTCCAGCAAGTTTAGTCAAAGTGGCTCAATTTGCCATTGCTGGTCACTTCTGGTGGAATTCAGACAACCGAGTTTCTGAACTTGAAGTATGGAGAATCATGCACGGATTACACCCCCTCTAAAAAAGTTCAGTTTTATATAATCTATCTCTTGACAAGAAAGAGTAGTAAATTATATTTTCTTTAAAAACTTAATCTAGAATACAGTTCAGCACAAATAACAACCGTGATTAGCAGAGAGCATATCAATGCAGAACATGACAAGGATGCCTCTCAGTATCAGCCTTGCAAAACACAGGAAGCTGTCCGTGGGCCTGGAATGGAACAGCACTTCTTGAAGATCGCTAAGTCAGATCTGAATGTTGTATCTGGAGCACTTATATCATGTCACCGTGGCAGGTGTGGCTTAGCTGGTTGGAGCACCATCCTGTAAACTGAAGGACTGTCAGTTTGACTCCCAGTCAGTGTACATACCTAGGTTGTAGGTTTGATCCCTGGTTAGGACCATATTGAAGGCAACCAAGCCATGTGTATCTCTTATACTGATATCTCCCTCCCTCCCTCTCTCTCCCCCCACCTCCTTCCTATCTCTCTAGAAACAGTGAAAAAAAAAAAGTCCTTGGGTGAGAATAAATAAATAAATAAACAAATAAATATTTTAGCACATTTGGAGCATTTATATGAAAAAGGCTCAACACACCCCTAGAACTTATAAACTCAATAAATAATAGTGATGGAAACAAATAATAGTTTGAAGGTTATGAAGGAAATTCAAAAATCGTGTTCAGTTCAGAGTCCTGGGACAGACCAAATATTATCAAGTCTCATAAAACTTCTTTCAGAGAATTGATTATCAGATAAATGAAATCATCCTGATGCTACCAATTGTGAATATTTTCATGAATAGTATAGGGAAGGCTTTAGAGGAATTTTATAGATTTATTCTTTGGCTACCACAAATAGAAAAATAGAAGGAAACAAAGTATTCAGCTAATAAATTTCAAGAAGAATATTTTCTCTTTCTGAACTCACCCTAAGACATTACACCTTGAATGTTAATTTCTTATTGAACTTGAATCTCTGACCCAAGTGATGTATTCACAGAGATCCAGAGGGGACAGAGTTCTGCACATTTTTGTGTTGTAGGATTTGGGCTTTCATACTATATCTCTCCTCCCTTCTCCCTCCTTCCAAGTGCCCTGGAATGGAGAGAGCCAGGGAGAAGTAACGTCATTCCTCTCACCATTCTTCCATGCCCATGGGAGGGGGAGGTGGGGATAAACTGTGGCAATG